GGGAAAGAGGAGGAAGCCCAAATCCAAGCTCTAAAACGACGACGAACCAAAGAATTCCTCATCGTTGGCCTCGATTTGGCATCTCAATTCCCCGGGGGCGAAGAGCTTGAGGATTCCTCTTATGGAAACTCAAACTCGAGAAATTAATACCAAATTTATTAAAATTTCTAATATTTATTCTTTATAATATTTTTTAAATCTAAGGTATGAAAATTATAATTACTAAATTAAATTTAATTTAATTAGTTTAAAACAATTTAAAATTCATTTTATAAGAAAAATTACATTATATTACTATGCACAACACAACCAAACACTGTAAAATAACATTCTTAGGAATCTAACAAAAGATTCCTACACAACCAAAAATGATAATGTATCTAGAGAATTATATTACCCACCATCACTTTTCTAAGTATTTGATTCCTATTGATTACTGCATACCAAACGCCCCTATAAGGATATCTAGGATTTTTTATGATAGTCCTTATAAAAATAGACTACCGGTAGTTACTTACTTTTTAATCATCACATATATATTAGAATTTATAAGTTTTATATATATATTTTAATTTAATATAATTTTAATTAAATCTAACAATTAAAAATTGAGACTGTCAATATGGCGGCAGACTGTGTGGGAGAAACTCCTTTATTCTATTCAATTGTTCAATTTTGCCTTTCATTCAATTTGTCTTGTAGTCTTTTTTTTTGTACCTTTTATTTTCCGGTTCTAGCAATTACAAGCGTTTTTAATGTTTTAATGAAAACTGACCATATGATATGAATTGTTATTTTTTTTTTTTGAAAAAAAAGGTCTTTCATTTAACTAAAATAAATATTAGTTACAGATCTTAGAGAAAAACCAAGAACAAATATAACAAACAAATCATTACAATATATAGAATAATTAGAACAATTAAACACAAAGATCTATTGGATTATGCACCAACATAGGCGATGCTATGTGAATACGTAAATAAACTATGATGGTGTATATTATTACCTAAAATTATAGTGCTAATATATATTTAATCTATATAATCAAATGAAATTTATTAGTTAACAAGTTGCTTTTGAACTTTTAATTTTGATAAGTTGTCTTAAATTTAACAAAATGTTGCACAAGATTCAAGATTAACAACGACAATAAAATTTAAATGGAAAGATACTCGTGCGCATCACGTGATGCTCGATTTAATAGTTGGGTAGCATGCTAGTGAGAGAGAGGAGCAACCCTATATGAAAATGCAAGAAAATTACTAGGTAGGGAACATATATGGAAGCGTTTTTTCCCGTTTATAGATCCAATCCACGATCTGCATTGTTTTAGAATTCGTAACCATACATTATCTTTATATTCAGTCATTCCCGTCCTTTATTACTCAAAAATTGCGTGGTTGTTACAGAAGTAAGACTTCAAACGACAATATGAAAGTCCATAACTCAATAACACAATGAAAGACTAGGAGAGAGAAAGAGATGGAGTCTTTTATGGGATGTTTGGTTCATGAGTTCAGAACCATGATTCATAATTTTAATTTTTGAAATTTAAATTTTTTGTGAAAGAAAAATACTGTAAAAAACTAAAAATCTTGATTCAGAATAAAAAATGAACCCTTAAAATAAACATCTCATTAGTAATTTTTTACATAACATCGTTCTCACTTAGTTGTCTAAATATTTATAGTCACGTAATTGACCGGGGGTTTAAGGGTAAGAGGGACATATGACATCACAATATTAGGAAAATTGTCACCCGTATTAATTGGTTGAGAGTAAGTTTTCTAATTTACTCAATAGTCAAATATTTGAAAACATTCTTTTATGTTTCAAATTGATATATTTTCTCTCTTTGGGTTTCATTCTAAATAAAACCCAATTATGCACCAACATAGGCGACCCAAAAAACCCAACAAAATACGACGAGCTTTTATTAATGGTGATAGTGGTTGAATCTCACCAACATAATCTTCGAGAGCTTCTTCAAGATCAATACTTATCGTCAAGCTAAGCTCTCGCATTGATTTCAACTTGCAAGTTGAATATGTTACCCGAGATTTTTTTTTTATTTTTTTATAGAAAGTAGAGTAAGAACTTTCGAGCAAAAAGTTTTCTAGTGCTGAGTTTTCTATTTGTTTTGAACAAAAGAAGAATTAAAACTGGTAAACGAGAGATATATTATTTAAGAGTACATAGTGGATAATCGATAATAAAAAAAAAAATGAGACTCAAACACATGACATGCACATGCGGCTTTCCGCATCTCTCTTTGAAAATTTTCCACATATCTCTCTATCCATTGCTTTAACAAATACTGTGTTGTTATGGACATTTTTTTTTTTGAAAGCGTTATGGATATTTTCCATTACTCTCATATTGTTCTAAGTTTTTATCCTAGTAAATGTGTAAAGTTTTCTATAATCTAAAAATCAGAAATTGGCTACTTAAACATTAGGGAATGTGAATTTGCTCTCACACCATTCGAATTTTCAATCATGTTTTTCATTGGTGGTGCTACATAACTGCTCCATTTTTTTTTTTATGCATTTACACTTAATCGTCTACAAATAGTAAGGTTGTGTATCTCACGTGAATAAACTTATAATAATTTGTTTTCGCTCCTCGCGTTTTGATTAAGGTCTTATAGTGGGAAGAGACCACCACTAATTAAAAAGAGAAAATCAATAATGACATTCGAAGTCACTCAATATTACATTTATATATATATATATTTTTTGTTAATAAGAAGAAAAAGAAAATTCATTTCCTAAATAAAAAAAAGGAAAAAAAAAAAAGAAAATACGATGAGTAACTGAGTAAGGACGAGCGGGACCTCCGGTTTGAACTTCTACGACATAAATACACGCCGTATTTCCCAAAAACAAAAACAAAAAATTAAAGAAAGGAAAAAGTAAACGAAAAGAGAGGGAAAACGAAAGATAAGAATAAAATAACAAAGAAAAGAAAACGACTTCGTACGGTTCGTCGGTTCAAATGTTGTCCCATTTGGATTGGATTGTTTGATAGTTGAGAAAGTATCTCCGCCGCAACGCACCGCAAACTCCATTTTTTCTTCATCTCTCCGCCGTCATTCTCTCTCTCTCTTCACTCTCTCAGTCAGATCTACTTGCCCCTCGTACTTTCTCTCTCTAGGGTTTCTTTTTTCCCCCAATATCTTCTACGCTCTTATGCGTTCTCAAGTTCTGAGATTTTTCATCGATTACTTCTTCCAACGCCGGTTCGAAGATCGCAGGTTCTGAAGATTTCGCATTTTCTTCAATCGCTCAGATTTTCGCGCAATGCAGAGAGTTTTTCGAGCTTCCAAGGGGTTTTTCTTCGTAATCTCTGTGATTTTTCCTGTGTAGGAAGTGTTTATAGAGTGAATTACGAGTTCGGAGCCTGAGTTCCCTATGCTTTCTACCGATTTCAAGCTCGTCTACGAGAATTTAGTTAGGGTTTTTTTTTCAGACTTTTAGCATATGCAATCTAGTTCCTGATTTTTGTTTTGTTCTGGGTTTGAGCGAGGAATAGGAAAAACCTAGGTTTTTCTAACAATGCAGAGTTTGTCGACCTCGGCGGCTCAGCCGGAGGCCATATTCGAATGGCTTCAGAAGGAAATGGGGTACAGACCGTTGGGTCCGTACACCGCCGGCTCAAGCAAAACTGCGATCCCGTCGATTGACGCGCTTCGCAAGGTTAGCCGCGGCAATATGATACCGATTTGGAATTTCCTGATCACGCGCATGAAGTCGGAGAAGACGGTGGAGAATATCCGGCGGAATATAACGGTTCACGGCAGTGACGGCAGTGGAGGCTCAGTGAGTTCGGGGAAAGAGGAGGGAGGAAGGAGCAGAGGAGGTCGGAGGAAGGAGAAGGCGTCGGGGGAGGGTTTGAGTACGGCGGAGTCGAGGGAGACGGCGTTGCTGGAGAGGGAGGCCGCGGCGAAGGAGGTGGAGAGGTTGAGGAACATTTTGAGGAGACAAAGGAAGGATTTGAAGGCGAGGATGTTGGAGGTCTCGAGAGAGGAGGCTGAGCGGAAGAGGATGCTCGATGAGCGTGCGAATTACAGGTATGTTGTTCCGATAAAAGATCGTCGCGTAGATTTGTAAGATATTCAACAAATTGAACAGATAATGCATATGAGCTGCGCCTACAGTTGATTGAATTTCCTTGTCATTATGGTTCATTTACTTTCATTTGTTTTTGGCTGCAACTAGATTTTGCTATGATACCAAAACTGTGATCTATAAGGCGGAATTTATAGAGTTTTGCGTACAGTGTGGTTAGAATAGAATGCCCACAAACACTTTCTGGTTCCAGAATGAAAATTTTCCTTCATTTTCTATTTGAAATTGTGCGCTTGTGCACACAAAACTGTGATCTATTGTCGGAATTTGTACATTTGTGTATAGTGTGGTTGATGCTCATGAACGCTTTCTCGTTCCAGATTGAAAAGTTTTGAATTATTGCTCGTTTTTTATTGTTATTTTCAACAATTTTATGGAATTGTGGTAATAACAGGCGTAATTGAGTATACTTAAGCTTGCCCAGTTAAGCTTTGGGTGTTTTAGCTTTGTTTGTTTGCTTTATCAGATTCTATAACGTTCATTGCAAATTTGGAATAATACATGCGTAATCCAAGTGCAGGCACAAGCAGGTGATGTTAGAGGCTTATGATCAGCAATGTGACGAAGCAGCAAAAATATTCGCAGAGTATCATAAGCGACTTCGTTTCTATGTTAGCCAAGCAAGGGATGCTCAAAGGACAAGTGTTGACTCTTCTGCTGAAGGTGTTACTACCTTTAGTGGAAGCAGTGAAAAGGAAGCTGTCTATTCGACTGTGAAGGGAAGTAAATCGGCAGACGAGTTCATCCTTATTGAAACCCCCCGGGAAAGAAATATAAGGATGGCGTGTGAGTCTCTGGCCAAGCATATGATTGAAAAAATTCGCAGTTCATTCCCTGCTTATGAAGGAAGTGGTATTCATTCAAATCCTCAATTAGAAGCAGCCAAATTGGGATTTGATTTTGATGGGGAATTACCTGACGAAGTTAGAACTGTAATTGTAAATTGCCTGAAGTGTCCTCCTCAATTGCTTCTGGCAATCACTGCACATACATCAAGGTTGAAGTCTCTAATCTCCAGAGAAATCGAGAAAATTGATGTCAGGGCTGACGCAGAAACCTTAAGGTAAATACTTCCTTCAATCCAATTATAGACTTTGCCCCTTCCTAGCTTCTCTTTAGTCGTTTGTACAAAGCATACAACTGTAATCTTCATCTCTGGCGAGATATTTCTTGCACTTCTCATTCCTCTTTAGAATTCCATCTGCTTCATTGTTTTTTTTGGGGTGTGGGGAGTTTGAAAATTGTAAAAGGCTTTTGCTCTTTCATTTCGTTAACTTATTGGTTTGTCATATTTTATATGCATGTCTTCCTTAAATACTCTTGACTTGATGCGTGAATTGGTTAACTTGTGTTCCATGTTGCACTGGGAACTAGAGTTTCAGTATTGCTAGATGCCAAACTTGCATGTTATCTTGCTATCTTTTGGTTAGATCTACAGCCTGTTGCTTTATTTGTGTATTTATTTTTGGTGTAAATCCCTCAGTTTACAAACAACTTTTTATGTTTAATTAGGTACAAGTATGAGAATAACCGAGTTATTGATGTTTCTTCTCCTGATGTGAGCTCACCATTGCACTATCAACTTTACGGCAATGGAAAGATGGGAGTTGATGTCCCTTCTAAAGGAAGTCAAAATCAACTTCTTGAAAGACAGGTGATCTTCAACTTTTTGATGGTGTAGAGTTTCTCAAGTTACTAAAATTTATAAAGCGTTCTTGTGATTTTGATCTTCTTTTCAAAGAATTTATCTCCAACTTTTGATGGATTATGCTTTGATTGCCTTAACTGATTGGCTCTATTTCTTGATCTGTTACTGAACAATATCCATATACGATTCATTTAATTGACATCTGCCTGTCTGGTTTTGATGTCCACAGAAAGCACATGTTCAACAATTTTTGGCTACTGAAGATGCTCTAAATAAGGCTGCAGAAGCGAGGAACTTATCTCAAAAACTTAAAAAACGTTTGCATGGCAGTGGTGATGCGGTTTCTTCACAGTCGCTTGGAGTCAGTGGCACGTTACAAAATGTAGGCAATCTTAGGCAATTTGAGGTAAATTCTTGTGAGATCTTTTTAGTTATCTCCAGAATTTTACTAATGAGTTTGGTGAGCACAATGCAGTTGTCAAAAGTTTTCTTAGTTTACCCTTAGTGTAAAATGCTCCTGTCTAGTAATAGCCGAGATGGTGTTTTTTGACATTTTTTATGGATCTTAACCATATTCCGTTAAACTTATTGTTAGACTTTCCAATGTTCTGTTTTTCGTTGGTGCTGTACAAGTGTTATGCATGTTTCTAGAATTAGGATCCAAGAATTATAATACATGTCATGTTGGACGACCAACCGTTCACATAGATATTCACGAGTTGCACTAACCTTAATTGTTAGATCAGGTCTTGGTGGATTTTCCATGACTTTGCTTTCAGAAGACATTCTAAATATGCCAAAACTCCTACTTCTGTCGACTAATAGTCTATTACCTACTGAAATATGCAAAATGTGTATTTGAAGTTTTCTGACAGCCGGAATTAGGGTTTAGGAGGAATATGATTATTATTCACCTTGAAAAAATACTCTATACAGCCGGATATATATACAAGTTTAGGGATAACCACAGACTGGTTTTAGCCCCTTATTTTCAGCACCCTAGATAACAAACTTGGTAACTACCTATCTAGTAATTAGAGAGAAATCAGGAAACTAATTAAATAAGGAAAGAATACAGCTGTACAACTCAGCCCTATTTACACCGGTTTTCCACAGTATTCACTATCTTTTTAGTACTTATTGTGCCACTATAAACTTGAATTTTCTTTATAACAATGGGAAGATACCTTTAAGTGTGGAAGGCTTTTGTTTCTTGATTTTCAGAAAGATAATTTTTGTCTGCCTGTTGTCTATAATCTGCTTATTCATGCAGTTGGAGGTCTGGGCCAAGGAAAGAGAGGTTGCTGGTTTGAGGGCTAGCTTGAATACATTGATGTCAGAAATACAACGCTTGAATAAACTGTGTGCAGAGAGGAAAGAAGCTGAAGATTCTTTGAGAAAGAAGTGGAAGAAAATTGAAGAATTTGATTCTCGCAGATCTGAACTTGAATTCATATATAGTGCTCTTCTAAAAGTTAACACGGTAAGGTGTCTTTTTTTTTTTTTTTTTTTGAGTTGTTAAAGTATAAAACTATTGTTGGCCCACCTCCTAACAGCTTAAACTTTTGGGATGAATTGGTAAACTAACATGGTATCAGAGCGGGAGATCTTGAGTTCAAATCCCCGTAATTGCACTCTTTGTCCCCATTTAAATTGTCATCATGTGTTGGGTTTTTAATATATCTCGGGCTTAAATATTCACGTGTTAGGTTTTCCAATTAATTTATCCACACGATTGCCTATTGTCTAGCCCACACGTGAGGGGGAGTGTTAAAGTATAAAATTATTGTTGGCCCACCTCCTAACAGCTTAAGCTTTTGGGATGGATTGGTAAACTAACATGAGTATTAAGGTGTCTCAAATTTATTAGTTCATACCGACTTGAAATCACCATGTGTAAAGGCATTTGTCGGCCAGCTTGATTTCTATCATCAGGAGCACCACAATTTATAAAGCATGTATGGGATCAGTTTATAGCTATTTTGAAATTTGTTTTTATTGATCATGCTAGCCATTACTTCACTATGATTTATGGGATTTTTTTTGGTATATTATGGTGATTGCAGCTACAATATGTGTCGTTGCTTTGTTTTATTTTTATTTCTCTTTCCACAAAAATCTTAAGGTGAGTTTCATTAATATTTCAGGATGCTGCTGCGTTTTGGAATCAGCAGCCACTAGCTGCAAAAGAGTATGCATCGAGCACTATAATCCCAGCATGCACAGTTGTTGTTGATATTTCTAACGGTGCAAAAGATCTTATTGAGAGGGAAATTTCAGCTTTTTATCGAAGTCCTGATAATAGTCTCTACATGCTTCCAGCAACCCCACAGGTTTGTATAGCAACAAGAGTAATTACTGAAGGTCACTAGTAGTTGTTTGCATTAATGCACTCTATCTTTTCTATGTGCTGGCTTCCACACACGTGCATGTGCACGTTCTTGGTAATCAAAGATTAGTTTTTTTGCCGTACATCCTTAAATTGGTTTTGACATACATATTGATGTACCTATTCATTTGTTGTTTATTAAAATTCTATCAGGCACTCTTGGAGGCCATGGGTGCAAATGGATCCACTGGACCTGAAGCTGTTGCTACTGCAGAAAAAAATGCTGCTATATTGACTGCAAAAGCAGGTGCAAGAGATCCGTCGGCAGTACCATCGATATGTCGTGTTTCTGCTGCTCTTCAATATCCTGCTGGTGAGTTGAAAGTTAGAATTTCAGATATATGCTCGAGATTCAATGCCTGTTTGCGATGAATAGATTTTGGTTATAGAAGATGAGACTTTGGTTTGGGAAGATGTTAGGTAACAGTTCATGTCACCTCCTCTGTGCTACAAGGATTATTTCTTAAGCAAGGGGTCTTCCTAGTTGAGTCCCACATTGTTAAAGTATGGGCTTAGCATGTGGGTTTATAACCATTTGGGTACCCTCTCCCTACAAGCTAGCTTTCGGGGATGAGTTCTACCCAAGGGTTATAACAATTGGTATCAGAGCATGCCCCACCTCAGGCCTACGTTGCGGAAGGGGCGACTTGGGGAGGGGCGACCTAGAAAGGCCAGAGTGGGCCATCTAGAGTTTGCCGCCGTGGACGTTGGTGTCGGAAGCGTGGTGGTATGTTAGGATCTTGGTTGAATCCCACATTGTTAAAGTATGGGCTTAGCATGTGAGTTTATAACCACTTGGGCATCCTCTCCCTACAAGCTAGCTTTTGGGGATGAGTTATAACAGTTTCACTAGCACTGAATAAAGAGATTCTCCTATATTGTATTTGGAGGTGCTGTTAACTTGGCTGACCTTCGAAATATTTGTATAAGAACAATAATGTTATTGACATATTGTATGGTAAATTTTATTCTTTACGTAACAAATGTATGTCTATCCATTTGTTTCTTTATCTTGTGTGTTGACCAAATAAATTGCATTGGATTTACAGGTTTGGAAGGTTCAGATGCTGGTCTAGCATCGGTTTTGGAATCCCTAGAGTTCTGTTTGAAACTTCGTGGTTCTGAGGCTAGCGTATTGGAGGACTTGGCAAAGGCAATCAACTTGGTACACATACGGCAGGATCTTGTTGAAAGTGGTCATTCATTGTTGAACCATGCCTATCGAGCTCAACAAGAATATGAAAGGTAGGATAGCAAGGAGAAACTCCTTATTTAGGATCATGTAACCATTTAAAGTGTCCTTGTATTTCCGATAAAGAATTTTTCTTATAACGATGTTCAAGCTCTCTCTCTCTCTGCCTCCCTCTGAGAACAAAAAACCAACTCAAACACTTCTAGCAACCAAAAAACATTCAAGGTCCCAGTCTTCCATTAGGTGTGGCTTATATTGAGCTCTTGGTTTGAATTTTGTCTTTGTGAACTGGATATACAAACCTTTTGCGACTTCGCATAGTTTACTTCACATTACCTTTGGCTTTTGGTACGTGTTCACAGTCATTTATACTTAATCGGGGGGTTTTGCCTTATATGATGCACGAATTTTTGTCCATTCCACCTCTGCCAGAGGTTTTGAAGCTGAATCACATTGATAGAGGTTTTCCTTTGTTCTCTTGTTTGAGATTGAGAATACCTATACTATATATGGTTAATCTTGTCAACACCATGATTTCCTAAACGTCAACATGTTGCAGGACAACAAGTTACTGCTTGAATTTAGCTGCTGGGCAGGAGAAAACTGTCTTGGAAAAATGGTTGCCCGAGCTCAAGTCTGCAGGTTTAAGTGCACAAAAGTGCTTAGAAGATTGCAAATTTGTTAGGGGATTGGTGAGTATCTACTGACAGCTCTATTATCTGTCGCTCATTTTGCCTATATTTCCATGCATATGTTTTGTAGAGACTTCAGGAATTCTGTGTTTTTACCCTCTCCGCCTCAACTCGGGATAGCAATCATTGGACTTATCTTTGGATAAAGCTTGTCATGATCTTCTCGTCGTCATATAATTTAAACCAATTGTTGCAGAAATATTATTGAAGGGCACACAATACAGACGTGCATACATTAGTTTTGTTTTCCTGAAACTAAAGTTTTTGTTTATTTCTTATGTTCCTGTCCGTAAATAAAAGTCGGCAGTTGCTGTTTACACTAGAGCCATCGTCTTAGTTGTGTGAAGTAAAGTTGCTTTTTCTTTTATTCGAGTTTTGTTTTCTTTTAACTGCAACATGCTTTTACAGCTTGATGAGTGGTGGGAACAACCAGCATCAACCGTTGTTGACTGGGTCACTGTTGACGGACTAAATGTTGCTGCTTGGCATAATCATGTGAAGCAGCTCCTTGCATTTTATGATAAGGAGCTCTAGTGACATGACTATCCTGTTCTATACGGCAAGATATTTTTGGAGATCGACCTTGTTTTCCGTATTGCTTTGCCACTTTCATGTTGATACTTGATAGACACGGAAAACTGCGGCCTTGTCAGAGGCAGCAATGCACGGGGTTTGTATCCAGGAATGAAAGGGGAAGCATACATAGACTAAAGATGATTATCATTTCGCCATGATTGGAGATGTAGAAGGGGGATTTGATTGTATTAGCCATAACAGCCTCACCAAGTTTCTCCATTTCCCATTTGAATTTTGTATAGAAATTCGTTCATGGATGTTTTGTATCATATCCCATTTTCGACCTCTTGGTTTTGAATGATAGTTGGCTTGATTAATGCCGTTTAAGAGCAAGTGTGGCAAAACTCTAGCCATTGCATCTGTTGTTTGAATGTGTGATTGGCTGATTGAGTAGAAAGGAAATTGTTGTTTATCATAATTAACAATACTTTGTACGTCTTAGTACTGTTAACTGTTGGTTATAACCTGATTGATCTACAGCTTCTTTCCCCTTTTTTCCTTTCTGTTGACTTTTTAACAAAGTATGATTTTTTGCGCGTTTATGGATTGTAGTTAAACTAGAAGAAATCTGATATTCATCATGAATCAAAAAAGCAAAAGAAGATTCTAACTTATCTTATTGAAGCTCAATTTTCTAACTTAACATGGCTGAACACGTCATCTGGGTAAACACGTGTTGATGGTTCTAAACATTTTGTGGCTTCCACTGAAATATATATATATATATATATATATATATATATATATATAAAGGTGGGCCATTTTGAGGCTGCCCAAAGAAAGAAATAACATTCTGATTTCATTCTAATACGTTGCATCTATCGAAAGCACCAACGGGACATTCAAAATGTGACATCGTAACGAAAGTCCTCATTGTCGAACACCGTGTTTGGAATTTTTTTTTTATTTTTATTTTATCTCGAATAGAGAGAGATATTAATGAATTTTTTTATATTGAAATAATCTTTCAATAAAACTAATAAGCATATTTTTAAAAATAATTTTTATTTAAAATTAAAAATATTTTTATTTTTATTTTTATATAAAAAATAAAATTATTTTAAAACGAGTTTTAAACACGACTGTATTCTAAGTCTTCAAGGTCGTCCGTGAAGACGAGAGTCACCAGACAAAGAACCCGTGATTACAAAAGTAATTTTGCTTTGGAATGAGGCTCTCTCACTCTATGAGCGCGGTGTAAAATATATGTATCTCATACGTGTAAAAGAACAAGTCCCTATCTGTTGTGACAATTTTAATATACTAACCATATATAAGTAGTTACATCACTAATAACTCTTTAAATCTCCTGCTGCTTGAAATCCTATTGTTTTATAAACAAATAGTTCCGCATGTCTAAGAACTTACTGTTTCGTCAGAGGATAAAATACGTCGTACGATTTTGATAAACTTCAGCCACAGAAGATCCAACACAGAACCATAAAAGATATTACATAGTATGATTGTCAGAGGGTGCAAGCTCATTTGTGTACAAAATATATACAAAGAAAAGAACGGCTGTTTTCAATAAACTCAAAAAAGTTGCTATCTGAGAATATGCCATGCACCAATTCCCACGTACGGTCCGTTTAGTTCGTTGATTCGAGTTGAGATGTGAGTATATGTGAGAGCTTTTAATTATAGTAAAAAAGTTAAATGTAACTATTGTGTGAAAAAATGTGGGTGACATGTGGAACGGCGACAGCGTAACACGTGGCTCTACTTTCCTTAAGAGTTTGACTACCCTCGACGCTTGGAGTTTGACTACCCTCGACGCTTGGAGTTCGGCTATCCTCAACACTTGGAGTTCATTTCCCCTCGACGCTACAAAGAAAGGCTCAAATTAGGACGTCGACCCTTTGTGCCGTCAAACTTATGCAACAACCTTCGGAAAGAACTATCATAAAGGACATAAAGTCTGCGCGGCACAGGCGCCGAGGGGAGCGCTCTTCAGAAAGAAGCCTGACATCACAAGTTGCGTCTAGGGGTAGGAGACGTCTGCAATACGGGCATTAATTGCACACTCCTAAACCATCATGCAGTGGGCAGTGAGGGATTACAGGAATCCACAGAGCCGTAATAGAAGACCAATTGGCTGAATGAATAGTCCAAAAGGTGATTAGTGGGCTACGATCTTAACCTAGAAAGATAGGCCACTCGAGTAGTTCTGCCTACGAAGGAAAATCACCCACGAAGAAAGCTTGAGTTATAAAAGGGGCAAAGCCCCATACACAAAGGGGATGAGAAGAGGATGAGACGATAGAGAGAATACGTGCATGTAAATTGTAAAGAGTCCAAGAGAAATATATCATACATAAGTGGATGTAGCTCTTCATTAACAGAGTGAACCACTATAAATCTCGTGTGTCTTCTTATTCAAGTGTTATACTCATGCTTACAAAACACGACAAACACTTCACCACTTGATTTCGAATATACCGTTAATTCCCAACCGGTAACCCAACGGGATACCAATGGGTAACTCGGCGTATTTTTGTTGGTGGAATTCAACCGTCAATAGTAACTGTTTTTGAAAACTTGTTATTGTAATAAATCTTAAATTCTAAACTCGAAGTTGTGCAATAAACGGGACTTAAAATTCTATTGTAATATCTTTTCGCTGTAAGATTCTTTAAACTATTGTAAAGACACGCGAAATGGCATAAAATATGTCGTTTTTAATTTTGTAATACATATTTCAATCAGATCAAGCACTACTCCACATTTTAAATTTTGTCCTCGCTCTATTTTATTACTTTCCTAGTGATGCAAATAACATATCATGGAAGAGTGCATGAGATTCCTTTTTCATGATGATGACCTTCCTCTCCAAAAAACAAAAAAAACAAAAAAAACAAAAAAAAAAAGATTCCCTTTTCATAATGATGCAAATATGACTGCCGTAGTGAGGCAAATATTTGTGCATTTGAAGCTTATAATGAAGATTCCTTTAACATCGACCAACAGTAATAACCATCGGTAACTATTATAAACTCAAATGTATGTATATATATACATATTTATGTATATTACATTAATTTGGCTTCAATAATGATGGAGAAGATAGTACAAATCTGACGATCAGTGGGGGTTTTTTTTTTTTTTTTTCTTTTTTCTGGCTGGCTTGAATTGAACTGATTTCCCTTTTGGAAACGACCACAACGACAAGACACCGTCCTTAAACTAAAATATATGATGTGATTTGTCAACCACTTCAATGGACAAAGTTTTTAGTGTCGTATAGGGGATCGATTCCTATGTTAACTAAAAGTTGTTACAAGTTTAAGAGCTCTATCTTGCTACCAAAAAAAAAAAAAAATTAGAGTGGGGATTTTACGAATGATCAGAAATAGATGTAATAATACGCGGGTTGTAATACACTTAAGTACGAGAGGGTATATATATAACAGCTGTATATCAGAGACAGGACACATAAAATGAAAAGGGAGCATATTACTGGTACATGTTCTTTGCTTCAGTGATAAATATTATAGCCTACTTTCGCCTCTCCTTTTTTTTTTTTTTTTTTTTAATTTTTAACTTGTCACGCTTCATTCATGACAAGATCATGTGTGTCGTTCACATGATCATGAGTTCGTTATCCTTATTCTCTGCAGAGAGAGTTGTATTTGCGTGGATGAGTTTTTAGCTTTCTCACAGATGTGGTGTGTATGTCAAACTGACAACTACGCCTAATAGTATTCTCACAAATTAGAACAATATAAGTTAGACAACGGTGTTTGACATTGCTTTTACTTTTAGGCAGAAGAAAAGGAGAAATAACTATAACTTTTGTTTACTATTTAGAACCATAAATTTTTTTAAAGTCTTCATGAGAAGAAAGTGATAAACAATAAAACATTAGAATAAAAAAGTGCTGAGAGCATTGGTGCTAAAACACTACAACTAATAAAAGATACGGCTCATCAGTAAGTCTCATGTTGTATTAGTGAGTGATATTCAACTCCATCGGTTTAACGTGGCAGTACTTAGAACAACGTCTGTAAGATATTATAAAAGCTCTGTTATATCTTTTCAGATGATTTTGTATAAACTCTGGTATATCTTCTCAGATGAGCTTTTCGAAAAATAAATGACTTTTACTGCCAAATAGGTCAGTATCACGTTCGAATGTGAACAACTCATACATACCAACAAAAAATAGACGTCTCCAATTTGTTTACATGTAACAAAAAAGTTTGTGGCCACTTTTCAAGTCTCGTGAACTAACAGGGAGGGACCCAACTATACTCTCATTTTCATTCTCATACCAACAAAGGAACAAATTCAATAAATGAGAGTAATGTAAAGCAGTAAAACAAACAAATTAGGAGCTTCCCTTTTCTTCTCTCCTTTTGAGCTGTTTAGTGATAGAAAATGAACTTTGCATTCACTGCTTCTAGTTTGCGGTTGACTAGTTTCTGCATGAATCAAATAAAGAAGCTTGGTGGAATATTAGGCCATTGAAATTAATTATCAATTAATTAATTAGTTAAGTATAGTGCTTAAGAAAAGTGCGTGATTCAATAGAGAATTAAATCAGTTAATGCAAACCTTCGCCAACTAGTATAAAAAGCCTTGGCCTTTATTTTCTTTTCTTGCTCAGAGTGCAGAAAGTTAGGCTCAAAATGAGTTGGTTTTTGACAATATTGTTTACCATTCTCACAATTAGCCATCTTTCAGAGGCTAAACACGAGACGAAGCTTCCATCTGCAGTTGTTGTTGGCAGAGTCTACTGTGATACATGTTTCCAAGCGGACTTTGACAAAACCAGCCACTTCATTTCAGGTAATTTGTTATTTCTCAAAGTTTTTTCCATTTTTCAAAACCATGGTATAAAATGTTGGGTTCAGTTTTAAGAGCACATTCTGGTTTGTGTACCATATGCAGGTGCAACTGTGGCAGTGGAATGCAAATATGGGAGAAGCGAAAAGCCGGTCTTCATGGAAGAGGCGAAAACCGACAAGCGCGGAGAGTTCAAAGTGCATTTGCCATTCAAGGTGAGCAAACATGTCAAGAAGATAGAAGAGTGTTCTGTGAAGCTGATAAGCAGCAGTGAGCCATATTGTGCTGTGGCCTCAACAGCCACTTCATCTTCACTCCATCTCAAGTCAAGAAAGCAAGGGACACACATTTTCTCGGCCGGGTTTTTCACCTTCAAGCCCCTAAAGCAACCAACACTTTGCAACCAAAAGCCAAGCATTCAAAACTCCAATAAGGATTCACAAACTCCCAACAAAGCCATTCTAAACTCAAACAATCCTTACTTGGAATTTCCACCACCACTTCAAGACCCCAATAGCCCTGGTGATCTCCCTCCTCTTCCTGGCCTCCCTAATCTCCCTCCATTGCCAAATCTCCCTCCTCTCCTTCCTATGCCAAATCTCCCTCCTCTACCGAGACCCGCAAAATCTTCATCAACTTCTTCTCATGACCAACAATTTGGCAAAACTTCACCAACATTTTCTCATGACCAAGAACTCAATGAAGAAGGACTAACTACACAAGATTTCTTTTTCCCTCCAAATCCAATATTCCAACCACCCCCACTCATCCCCAACCCCTTTCAGCCACCCCCACTCATCCCCAACCCCTTTCAGCCACCCCCACCACTTATTCCCAACCCTTTTCAGCCCCCACCAGCACCACTCATTCCCAACCCATTTCAGCCCCCGCCGGCACCAGCACCACTTATCCCCAACCCATTTCAGCCGCCACCGGCGCCATCTCCATTGTTTCCATTCCCGCCTATTCCAGGCTTGACTCCATCGTCGCCGCCGCCGCCGCCGCCAGCTTTCCCATTCCCTTTCCCTCCAATTTTCCCATTCCCGCCACCTCGCGGCCCCGGGGCGCCACCTTCTTGATCAAAATTCAAACATGAAGATATGTAAATAAATGTATGATCATTACCAGATGATGATAATAATGCTTTTTGGTTTTGTTGATGTAGATTTTTAGTATGGTTGTGCGTGTAATTGTCAGAAGAACTATAGAGTTTGGGAAACAAGTTTGTCTTGCACATGAGATAGGCTATAATAAAATCAATTATTGGACTTGGAGTGTAAATCTAGGTGCGAATCTTTTCACGTTGAGAGGGATGTGTACTTACTGTACTGATGATTATATCTTTTTCCTATCAATAAAGACTAAAGTTTGATCATTATGGACTTCCTGTGATTTATCTACATGTTACATGCAATTTTTTTTATATAAAAAAAAAAGATTATGGGTGTTCTCACTTCCCTACGAATATGATCAATGTTTTCGTCAACTAACATTCATCCAGTCAAAAAAAAAAAAAAAAAAAAAAAAAACCCTTCCAAACTATATTCCACAGGTTCACGAGAGATAGAATTTCGGCCCCATTGCATAAAATTAGAACCTTAATAGGTCGTTTTCACACATGTACTTTTCATTAATAGGTTGCAATTTAGGCTGTATATTTCAACATTATTTATTGGATATTTCTAACCCTTACCACTATTGACGCATTAAAAAATTTTGTTTGTGTGAATGCGGCAAAAGTTTTGAATTAAGGAAATATAATAGAGACATTCTTCAATGTTATAGATAATAATTTTATTTGGAATAAAACTTTCCAATTGAAAACACAGCAATGATTACATTCTCGGCTAACCATTGGAACGTACATTTTACTGGAAATTTTGGAACAGGAGCTATACGGAGATAGACAATTCAGAACTTTTTCTTATACGCTACCTAAAATATAGAAACTATTAATGCTTAGGCCTTGTTCATTTCACCGATTTGAGTTTTCAGTTTTAAATTTTTACAATAAAAAATTCTCAAAAAATGTCACATCTAAACTCGAATTGAAAATTCAAATTTACGAAGTGAACGAGACCTTAGTCTATACTAATGCTTACCATTGTTCACATATTGCTACATGTGTGTAATAAAATAGTACCGAACTACGTTACAATAGTATATAAATTATCTTACTTTTACGAATGTAGAATTACCAATTTCTTCGAACCTTTTGATAAAAACAAGAGGATCATGTATATCTTGGTTAATCAGTTGATAAACATAGAACTACTCATTATGCATTAGGATCCTAATTCATGGATATATCTATTTAAAAAAACACAATAAAAATAAAAGGATCTATCGGCTCGGCTCATTTTCAGATTTAATAAATGTTAGTTGATCGAATATTGCATTATAGTTCTACAATTTAAAGAATCATTTCCTATTCAATGCCTTTGAATTTTGAGGAATTGATTCAATACATTTTTTTATGTACCTATAAAAGAATTTGATGCATTTGTGAAGGAAGAACGAAAAAGGAAAGAAGGGTTCTTTATTGGATTTGAATCAAATTTGTGCTATGCTTGATTTGTTTTTAAAACAAAATTTGAATCTTAACATTACGCCCGCTTAGACAAATAGTATTGCTGAAATAAAAAATAACAACACTTTATTTTCAATTTATTTTAAATTTTCCATTTACCCCACTATTCTAGTAAGATATATTTTATATTCTACCAAATTTTTTTAGACAGAATATTTTTTGTATTCTATCTGAATACGTTTTATATTTTACCAGAATATTTTTTAATGATATAAATAATAAGATGATGAAAAATAATAATTATTCTAGTAATTTTTTTCAAAATGAACTAATCATGATTCATAATCATAAAATACTGCTAAGGTTCCCATTTGTGCATTGAAAAAAAAAATTGTAATTGGAAGATTAAAACCATAATACATAAGCGTTAAAATTGGGTGCCACATAAGCTTATATGATTCAGCCAGCCGGCAAAATTGCCATCGTCAGAATTGATGTCGTTGGTGGTGACGACGTCGTTTTGTTGATCATTGATGGCTGTTGAGGTTTGGGCTTGGGCCATGTTGGGTGCATATAGATGCATTACTTGGGCCCGGGGAACCCAAATTCCTGTGTGGTTGTTGCTTTGATCGTACGGCGCGCCCACAGCCGGATTGTGATCTTCACCGTTCATCTGATTCTTACTCCCTCCATCTGCCTTCATATGTAGCCTGAATTTCTGATTTCCAAAATAATTGAGATTATATTTTTAATATTTATGTTTAGTATTGCCTCTTTTGTTTTTAATTTGATTTATTCTCATAAAAGAGCAGTTATAATAACTTTTTGAAAAGAATAGGCCCCATTTGTTTCCATTTTCATTTCTATTTTTTACGTTTTTCGAGACTAAAAAATGAAAACAGAAATAGAAAATGCGTTTGGCCTAAAAATTTTTTAAAAACAAAAACAAAACCGTTTTTGTCTTTTGTGAAAAATTGAAAACGAAAAAAATGTGTTTTCATTTTCTCGTTTTCGTTTTCTAAAAACGGATTTCATTTTTTTTTTTTCATTTTCTTCTCTATCTTTTCTGAAACCGTTTTTGTCTTATATAATGATGTTTATGTAATATATTATTATTTAATATATTTAATAATATTATTTATTTAATATATTATTATTTAATATATTTAATAATATTATTTATT